CTTTGATATCCCAGAATATCTCAAATGGCAATAGGTGCCACATTTAGGTAATGCAGACACCTGAAGTTAGGTTCCTGTAAACTGAGGCAGAAATGCCTCTCATTTTATATGCACAGTGATGTGCTAAGCCATTAAAACTTGAATTCAGCTTTCTTTCACCACTGCCTTTAGCTTCCCAGTGTTTCCCTTCTGTGCTCGCTTCTTACTTGGTGCCACCCATAACTCCCCAGGAGGAAGTGAGTCGGGTCTCTCCTCCCAAAGACAGGATTGCTGGCAAGCTGAGGCATCAGGGAGGGGCTGATGGAGGTAATCTAGCAAAGCCAACCCAATGATTTTTAAACTGGCTAGGATGGGTTTATAGGCCTCAAAGTTCAGCCCAGCACAGACCACAAAGACCATCAAAAAGCATTATATGAGTTACGGTCTCCCTGCAGGAATGTAGAAAGTAAAAAAGTATGGAGTTCACCAAAACACGTCTTTTCTCCATAAGCCTGTTTCAGAATACAGAACGTTTCAGATGTCAAAAATGTGGTTTCCTTCTTGTCACTGTGATAGCCTTAGCTTTAGGTTGATTCCCGCTGCTGCATGACAGCTGTTGCAGAAATCAATAGGAAAGCACAGAACGTAAGTTTGTCGCATAAGTTTAAACTAACCAATCTCTCATCTTGCTATAAAATATAACCTGGGCATCTCCATTGTGATATCTGGCCACTGGAACATTAACACTGCTACGGGAGCATTGTGACTAATTGCATCCATCAATAAAAATAGATTCCACACACACACAAAGGCATCAATTAAAAGCAAGAAGCTATGAGAAAGCAGTCACTTTTAATGCATCATTTATCACAACAACCCGGTGCTCTGCTCCTCTACAATTTTTAGAACTTCTATTGCCATGACAACAGGATGCAGCCTTTACACAGTGTGGGCCAAACCCTGCCCTTGGTGACACAGATGCAAATTCAGAGTAACTTTGCTGAAATGCCTGGAATAGCAGCGATGCAAGTGCAGTGTAACGGAGGCAGAATGGGTCCCGCGCTCTCCTTTATGTAATTATTTTCTTCTTCTTCTTTGCCTCGTCAGGAAGACAAGATGTTTTTCTCTTCTACTCTGAGTAAGCTCATAACGTAGTGGAATAATCAGACATAATGACAGGTTAAACCACAAAGGAGTGTTACATCCTAAATACCATATTAACTTAAATTTTAAATTTGTATATTAACAGTTATTTAAAATGCCTAGGGAAAGAGCAAATCTGAGACAGGAACACATTCTCTCTATTCAAAGGCTCCATTGAAATCACACAGTATAATAAATATCTTGCCTAATAAGCAGACATAACCAAGTGTAAATTCAGCCCTGTTTGGCTGAACACCCTTATGGGAAGAAACACAGAGGGGCTCTGCTTAGATCTGGCCCCACACAGTCACACTCTTGAAGATGCTCCAAAATCACTGTCCCACAATGTTCTCAGGCAGGCCAAACTTCCCCATGAAGTCAGCAGGAATTCACTGACAGGTAAATACCTATACACAGATGGCTACAGCTGAAGAAAGCAGAGCCCCTGGATCTGTTTCATCTGGATTGCTCTACAAAAGTGTTGACTAGACTGCCAGCCAAATAAACGTTTTCATTAACTACAATAGCAAGCAGAAATCCCATTGAACAAGTGCTGTGGAACTCAGTAAAGCTAAATTTGCTAGATTCTTACCCTAATGGTAGTTTTAAACCTCCATTCCTGTTATAAAACCAGGTGAAGCCACCAGGCAGATGCTGTAGGTAGGCTGGAGACAGGAATGTGCAGAATTAAAAAAGCAGGAGATTCTTTGTATGCTGTTTGCACACCTAACCAGCCTACAAAATCCTATACAATAGAAATACATTTCCCCTATTAAATTCCAAGAGTACAGAGCTGTCATCATTGCCAATAGCTCTTCACATTTTAATGCAGTCTCTTGATCAAAGGACAGACACAGATCTACAGAATCCAGTGGCAAGAAGTGAGGTGACTTGCTACATTCAGAGCAATCTTACGATAATGTTATTTTAGAAATGTATTTTGCAAGCAAACCTAATAGTAAGCATTACTAGTGCTCAGACGTGACTCTGAAGACTGATGCATCAATGCTGCACTGAGGCAGTAAAAGAGCCTCAGAAAAACAGAGGTTTGTTGCCCAATGACAATCCAAGATTATATAGTTAAAAATAAAAAAATACATCTGGCCAGGACATCAAGAGGTCAATTACTTCATCTATCTGCCCAAAGGCATGATCATCTGTAACCACATCATTCCAGATAGCTTTTTATTCAGCATCCATTTAAAGACCTTCAACAAAAGATGCTTCACAATTTCCAGCCACTCTATTTTGATGGCTCGTTATCTTTATCATTAGAAGGCTTTATGGTGCCTTCGAGAGTGTGATCACAGCATGGATAGGTATAACTGCAATATCTTTACTCCAAGCTCAGCCACTAAGAGCAGTGAAACCATATCAACACATGTTGCAAGGTTGGCCCAGATATACATTTCTATCAACAGAAGCCCACTATGGTTTTACTGATATTTATTAAATACAGTTGATCTGTTGCGAGTATTTTGCTCTCACTGCCTCTCTTCAAATAGAGGGTTGATTTTATTTTCTTTGAGACCACGATGCTTTGCAGTTCTCTCTTTCAACCGCTGTGGCAAATAGTAAACACCCTAGTTTCCAAGCATTGCTGCAAATTTTCTCAGGCTCATTTGCAAGAAACCAGTTCTGTGCTGCACAACGTGTGTACCAGTAGGAAGTAGGAAAAATAACATTTGGCATCACTGGATTTTTATTGGTTTTAAGTAAATCATTATTTTCAGTAACTTTAACTAAATGAAAAAAAAAAAACTAATATTTTAGTTGATTTAATCTGTTGGATTTGCTAATCAATACCTTAAGTGTTATTACATGTCTGTGACCCCTGACCAGTCTTCTTTCTACTGGCCTGGATTTCTAGAAGATGTCTGTGAATCACTTCATGGCAGATGAAATAGTTTTCTCATGTTTAATGGCAAACTAATTTCTGTGAGGTTGTGCATTCATTTTCACTGTATTGGACCACAAGAGGAAAAATTAATAACTTCAGAAAAGGTGAGTCTCAGTTGGGAACCCTACTTTTGAACAGTGGAGGAGGAATTCTAAAGGAAAAGCACCAAGCACACAATCAAATTTGATAGGAGGTACTGGGACATCCATGAACCATATCCTACAGCAAAATCAAACTCTGAATGTCAAAGTAGTAGTGGAAGATCATCACAACCTTTTCATAGTTTAAGAAAATACCAAATGAGTGGCACATTGCTGGCATTAACACAGGGATAAGGCCCCATTGGGAGCAAAAACTCTTCTTGGCATCATACACTTGCATGGTGGTAGAGTTCTATGACAAGTACAGTGCTCCTGCCTGATGGATACCTTTTCCAAACCCAAAAAGGATGTGCAAAGAGTGAATGTAAATGGCAATGAGTGGAAAGATGACTATTCAAGATACTTGTTGCAGAAACATCTGTTGCTGGAGTATTCATGACAGTCATGGTAAAAACAAAGGCTGCACTTGACATTGCTGAGAAAAGAGTGACAATACAAACACCACCTGTGAAGAGAGAACCCACCAAATATGTTGAAGGAATGGGAAAAAAAAAAAAATCTTACAGAGGCATGTTAAAGACTAGACCTCCATCTAAAAAGAAAAAAGCTAATACTAGGTTGAAATCCTTGCGTTATGAGTTCCAACATCTGAAGTGCCCTGTGTACTCCACAGGCAGGGACAATCACCTCTGCCAGGCAAAACAGGCCACATAAGATATAAACCACCACCTGAAACTACCTGCTCCTTTCTTTTCCCTCTAGAAAATAAAGAACCTTTCAGCATCTCAGCATAGGCATTTCAGTGCAAGTGGGACATGTTCAGGGAATAGGCTCAAACCTGCATCACTGACCAAAAATGCAGCAAGTGCTGATCTTATTGAAATACTTAGGAAGAAAATCAGAAATTTAAAAAAAAAAAAAAAAAGTCTCCAAATAAAGCAGAAAGATATAGCGTATAATGCATGGCATGAGTTCACCATTTGAGCAAGCTAACAAAGGATTTTTAGTCCCAAAGCCAAAGAGTCATTGGTTATCTTGCACTTGCCTACTGTAACCCTCAGTATAGAAGCATTGTTCTTCATCAGTCATTAGGCACCGCTGTAATAAATTTAATACAGGGAATATTTGTTTTATAAAGATCTTATAAGTAAAACAGAAGCCATATGGGATTCAAGGAAATTATCAGTTTGAAAAAAAAAATAAAAACCAAGGAATCATAGAAAAAATGGCTGGGATGGATTTCAAGAGATCCTCAAGTCCACCTTCCCTTCTTAAGGCAGGATCTGCTTCTCCCCTTGACGTTCCTTAAAAACATTTATTTAAAACCCACTCTTAAAGAGTGCTACTAGTAAAGATTTCACAGCCTCTGGAGACAAACTATTTCCCTATTTAATTTGAAACTCCCCTACAGCAATTTAAAATGGTTCCTCCTAGCCTAGAGATCTACACATACTTCCCTCTTGCTGTTCCCTTTCTTTTGAACCTAGCTCCGTATTTCAAGAAAAAGCAAATCTGAATAAATCAGTAATATACTAATTCATACACTTCACAGCCCTGATAAAATCAATCACTTCTAATGGTTTAAAACTCAGAATTTTGCAGGCTTAGTTACATGCTATCTTAATACAGAAATGAAGGTATAATTTCTTACAGACCTTTTCTTCATGCCTATCTTGATATCTGTTACTATTTGTCCACCACTTTTACAATGTCAAATGATTTATCACCTGCTATCTCTGAAATCTAAGACTTCAGTAGTTTTTCTATTACAACAGAATTTCTCTTCTATATTTATCTCTTTCTCTCTTTTTTTTTTTTAACACAAAATGACTTTCAGCTGAACTTCTTTATATGGCCATCTGCGTAATTACTATGACTCTTACTGAACTAGCAGCTTGTAGATTAGTAACTGGATTCTGCTCCCCCAATATCATTGGGAGTTTTGCCATTGACTTCAATAGATGCAGGACTGGACCCCTTGGAAACGCCTGATTATTGGATAACTCCAAGCACTGGAGAGAGCTGACATTGGTATATTGACAACAGCTTGTTTCTTTTTTAATTTAGAATCTCTTAATTGGCTTAACCAGCACTTTGTTTTGTGAAATGATTCTGTATCGCTGAATGCAATTTTCTACAATTAAATAGGAAATGTTTCCTTCCTCAGTTGACACATAGCAGGAATGATAAAGCAGCTTTTGGGCAAAAGGACAAACTCCTCTTTGCACTCTGCAAAACCTTCTTTTTGTGTGCCTGAAATCTCTGGGTGAAGAAGGAAACATGGCAGGTGAGGGACTGGATAAAAGGGAGTGCGAGGAAGATGGAATTCAGGCTGGGAACTGGAACTGCAAGAAGAATTAACCCAGTCTATTTCTCTTCCAGGTTGGCAGCTTGGGTGGGAAACGTGAAAGACTCAAAAGGCTGCACCTATGCTCCCATTTCTGAGCAGAGGCCAACTTTGCTGAAGCCTGTGTGATTCAGTGTAATGCCGTTGGTTCATACCAGCTGGGGATGGACAAACCGAGGGCTGGTGACCAGAAGATACTTGCTACCAGCTGAAATTGAGGATCCTTCACAGGTGGCAGGTGAGGACTCCACCTTGTTTTCTGGGATATCCCACAGCTCAGCTTCCACCTGCCTCAAGCTGCTCTAGGAGGTCTCCACAGTGAATTAAATGGATTTAGGTCCTTTGTCCTAAATGACAAGCCAGCTGTCACCTTTCGTGTCAGTGCAGAGGAGAAGCTAGGAGAGTGTCCTCACCACCACACAGTTGTGACTTCCTGAGGGGGGGAGATGCTGTGGGCTCTTGAATACAGGGGATCCTGGTTAGCCCCATTGGAATAGGCTGTCAATGTCCAGATGAAATTGAATGGCAGGCACCTGATATTCAATTTGTTTTTCAAAATTTAAACAAATGTATTTGATTTGGGATGGGCTCCTAGGTTCAGGTTTCCCCCTGCGACTAGTGTTGAACTACTTTAACAAGGGAAATCATATTTGTTGGTCTAAAGGCTCTAGGGTGCCTAGTCAACAACTTTTTTTTTTTCTTTCTTTCTTTAATTGCTACATGTCATGTTACCTTATTTTTAACTTGATTTGCACCAGGGAAAACCATGCTCCAGAAGAATTGCAGATACAGTTTGCATTGTTTTCAGCCTTCTGCGTACTGGCCAAATAGTTTCTAAATCATGTGTATGCTCTCTCACTTTTTCACCCATAATTTACTCTGAATAGGTTTCAGGAATACTTACCCCAGTCATTTCCCAGGCAGTGATCTGGTAAGTAATTCAAAAGTGTTCATGGTCATCATTTATTCAGATTACAAACAGTGAAGCAATTTAACAGTTGCTCAGATATGGAAACTCCTGAGACCAGCTTTCTTGCCTTTTTTCTCTTACTTTGTTCTTTTTTGAAATAGGACCATTCTGGTGTCCATGAAATGGAAAATAATTGTCCCACCATTCTTGCAACTCATAAAAAAAATTGGAATTCTACATCCCCCTGCTGGAAAAATGTTTTGAGAATGCACACAACTTTATGCCATTACCTAATCCTTGTGAACCTGGCAGTTTGGAAAGCAAAGCAAACTAATATATAGCAAATTCCTCCTCTTTTTCTGCTTAATTAGTGGGTAGTCCACCTATGAGAATTCCTTTTAAAGCAACAGACCTTTTCTACCTAAGAAATATACTGGTCGTTCAACAAGGCACAGCATTGCTGCAGATTTTGTTGTGGAGAATGTCTGAGAAATGAATGCCTTCACAGGAAAATAATAATAAGGTTTAAAGGGGGTGGGGAATCAGAAATAACAAATTAGTGTGATAAAATTGCCTTCAAAATCCTGATGATGGATGAAAAATTCTCCTAAGTGAATCCAGTATGCTTAATTAAACTTAATTGTACAAAGAATCATTTGTAAATGGCTATATGTGGAAAAGAATAAAAATGCTGGGTGTTATCATTTCTTCCCAAAGATGCTGCTGCAAAAAGGCATTGTGTTGTTGGCAGTATTAAGCAAGCTGTGACATCCATCAAGATGAATGTGTTTACGTGCATACCTGGTGACATAATTTGAAGTGGTATATTGTACATATAAAATCCTGATCAAACTTACCTGCAGTAAATCTTTGTGCAGTAATTGTATTTCTTTGTTCCTTACTAAAATAAGAGTTTCTGCCTGGAAGCATGTAAGCATTTAATTTTGTCACATAATTCCCTCAATTTCAGGCCATGGTAAGTAACACTTTCCATATGTGTCAGCTGTCAATTCCCGTTAGAGCATCTAGCTATTACAGGGTTTAGATGTAGCTGCCTGACAATTAGTGCTGTATGTTGTGAATTCATCAATCCAAAAATGGCAGAAGAAATTGAATAGTAAGGATTCTGTATGAATTAACTAAACCTGTAAAATGATATTTCTGAAAGCTTTATTGCTGTTCTTTATTTTTCTTGAGAAGAGCACAGAGCACTCTCTTGGCAAGCGCACTGGAGGAGTGGAGATAAATCTCCTCTGACCAAGTGAAGAGAGACCTCTACAGGTGTCTTGTTTTCTGTCCAACACCCTTTAGAAGAGTTTTCCCTGCAACTCTTAAACAAAAGATGCTCTCAGGGTTCAGCAGCCAAGTCAGAGGAGGTGCAAGAAGAGCCTGGCCCCGCTCCCAAGGGGGATCAGTGCTGTCATCCTCAGTGCCACCTGTGGTACCGTACCCTCTGGGGCTGCCATGGGGCTGCCTTGGAGACATCGGCTCTGTTGGTGGGACATCTGTATGGAGGCATGTAAAGTAGCCATGAAGATAAAGGCCCAGCCACCTATGTGGGCAGCCTGACGGTCCCTAGTTTGCAGACAGTGGTGTGGGAAGCTGTGGTCTCTAAATGTTGGCAGGGCTGTGCCTCCCTGGGGCAGGGTGAACCTGAGCTAATTAGAGGCCACATGAGCTTTTAAACAGACAGCTTCATTACAGTTCTCCATAAGACATCCTGAGACTCAAGTTACTTATTATCATAACTTGTTTTCAGTAAGGCCTCAATGACAGCAAAAATGGAAGGAAGCATGCATTCCTACAGTTCTGCAACATGTAATTTCTGTTTCTTCTGAGAAGCTCAATGCATTTCCACAAGGCACTAGTGATAATACCCTTTGCTGCTGCAACAGCAACAGTAGAGTGTAACCTTGATGTGGTGTGTTTTTTGTTTGTTTGTTTTTTTTTATATATATATATTTTTTTTGGGGGGGTGGTTGTTTTACCTGACTGGGAAGCTGGACTACCACAACCACTCTCTTACTCTCCCTTGTCAAAGGAAAAAGGAGAGGAAAATACGATGGAAGGGGCTCAGCAGCTGAGCTAAGGACAGGGAGATCACTCAACAATTATTGTCACAGGCAAAACTGACTCAGCATAGGGAGAGTAATATAATTTATTACATATTACTAACAGGCTAGAGTCATGAGAAACTAAAAGTAAACTAAAAACACCTTCCCCTCCAACCACCTTCTTCTACCTCCTTCCCCTGTGAGGCATGGGGGAATGGTGGCTGTGATCGGTCCCTGATTATTCATCTCCACCACTCTTTCGCAGTCACTCCCTGCCCCTGCTCCATGTGGGGTCCCTCCCATGGGATGCTGTTCTTCCTGAACTGAGCCTGTGGGGGCTGCCAACAGGGGAACTTCTGCTCATGGCACATGGAGCACCTCATGCCCTCTTTCTGCACTGGCCTTGGAGTTTGCAGGACTGGTTCTCACTCTTTTCTCCCAGCACAGCAGGTTTTTGTTTTTGTTTTCCTAAATTTGTTCTCCCAGAGGTCCAACCATTGTCCCTCACTGGTCCAGCTCTGGCCAGTAGCAGGTCCCTTGTAGCCGGCTGGAGCTGGCTGTGATCTGACATGAGGCAGCTGCTGGGCTCTGCTCACAGAAGCCACCCCTGCAGACCTTCCTGCTACCAAGTTCTTACCACGTAAACCCAATACATTTGGAAAGTGTCCTCCTTTCCTCCATAACTAGTGTTCATTGACAGAAGAAAAGACAGTCTAATGGAAAGAAAGAAACTGTCCTTTCTTCACAAGTTTTCAAATTGTGCTCTTCTCACAGCTACCAACAAGACTTGCATTGCTAAAAATGCTGGCAAATAAATGAGACATAGGAGAAGAGGGATGGTACTAAATGGTATCTGACAGGAATACTAAAGACAACGATGGAAAGCAGAGCTAAAAGCTGCTGAACCTTTACATATTTCTGTGCTCTGAGTGCAAGAATAAAGCCTGTAGGATCTTACCAACCTCCTTTCTAAATTTTCCTCAAGTTTGTTAGGTTTGAATCTACAAATTCCAATGTTTTTTCCACAAGTTGTAATTGGGCATAGATGTAACCAAAAAAAAAAAAACAAAAAAAAAAAAAAAAAACAAAAAAAAAGATGCCAAATTAGGAGCAGTATTTACTTTTCATGATAACTACTTGTGCCCTGAAAGACCAGTATCCTGAAGTTTCTCATACACAAACAGGATCGATGGGTTCTTGCTGGATACTTTTCAGTCACTGAGAGTAAAATATCTATTGATGTAATCACATACTGGAGACTATTGAAACCTAAATGTTCTGTTGCAGAGACAAACGAAGAAAAAGAAAGTACTCCAGGGAAAACACAAACTAAGAAAAGAAAGAAAACAAATAAAGCCTGACTTATAAAAACAAAGAGTACAAAATGACAACAACAACAAAAAGTTGTTTTGTTTGTTCATGTTGTTTTGTTTTCCTAGATCTGTTTTTCTCGTTGATATCTCTAGAGGCTCCAGGACAGTGCTGCCCGTGCACACACACTGCCCTGGATAATATTTGGAATGAATGTATATATTTGTATGATATTATTGATTTTCTGGGATGTGGCTGTGCTGGACAGGAATTCTCAAGATCTCCATTAGAGCAACTCACAGCCATAGTGCTGATGTCTGGCCTTGAGCAAGCCGCCAAGTCAGTCCTCTGCTCTGCTGATCAGCTGTGTAAGAGAGGGAATAACACTGCCCTGGCAGTGTATGGCTTTTTCTTTTCTTTTGTAACCTGAACCTTTTAGGAAGCTTATATTGAAGTCTTAAATAAAGATCCACACACAGTTCCTGCAAATTTAAATACCAATCAGTAAACAAAGGAAAACACTATTAAGACAATTACATTAGTACATTTCTTATCCATGGTGTATGTTGACAGGTATGCTATACCATGTAGCACCATATTCTCACAGACTATTTTATCTTTCAGTGAGTTTGGCTAAGTAAATTGTTCTGACACACAATCATCAATTACCAAATGAGCTGGAGAAAAATAGATCTGCTGCTGCTGGGTCCAGGAAGAAGTTTGGGGCTCATACATGTGGACCGAATGGCCAACCTTTGGGAGCTGCTAGGCATCTCTGGAACAGCCCCAGGTATATACAGTTATATACAGGTTGAGGGGGTCATGGTTAAAACGCCAATGGGCACCTAAGCAGCACTATACTGCTCTCTCACTGCCTCTTCTTACAGGAAAAGGTAAAGAAAAATATTATGAAAAATATCTCATGGGTTGAGATAAGGACAGGGAGATCACTCAACAATTACTGTCACAGGCAAAACAGACTCAGCATAGGGAGATTAATGTAATTTATAACCTATCGCTAGTGGACTAGAACAGTGAGAAACTAAAAGCAAGCTACAAACACCTTACCCCCCGTTCACCCTCTTCCACCTCCTCCCACCAAGTGATGCAGGTGAACGGGGAATGGGGGCTGCGGTCAGTCTCTGACGCTTCACCTCCGCTGCTCCTTCATGGTCATTCCCTGCCCCTGCTCCCCATGGGGTCCCTCCCACGGGATGCCGTCCTTCCCAAATTGAGCCTGCGGGGGCTGCCCACAGGCAGCAGCTCTTCAAGCACTGCTCCCACACGGCTCCTGTACCACAGGGGTCCATCCCCCAGGAGCAAACTGCTCCAGCACGGGTCCCCCACTGGGTGGGCGGCAGCTCCCCCCAGACCCCTGCTCCTGCGGGGGCTCCTCTCCACAGGCTGCAGCTCCAGCCCGGGGCCTGCTCCTGCAGGGGCTCTCCATGGGCTGCAGCCTCCTCCAGGCCACATCCACCTGCTCCACCGGGGGCTCCTCCACCCATGGGGGGGCTGCAGCGTGGAGATCTGCTCCATGGGGGACCCATGGACTGTAGGGGGAGAGCCTGCTCCACCAGGGGCCTCTCCACAGGCCACAGCAGGACTACTGCTGCTGCCTGCCTGGAGCACCTCCTGCCCTCCTGCATTGACCTTGGTGCAGCCCTTGCAGTGCTGTTTCTCACTCCTCTCTCCCAGCTGCTGTTGCGCAGTAGTTTTTTCTTTTCTAAATCTGCTCTCCCAGTGGCTCACCCAGTGTCGCTCCCTGGCACTTAGCGCCAGTCAGTGGTGGGTCCCTTTTGGAGCTGGCTGGAGCTGGTTCTGATCTTGAAAGGGGCAGCTGCTGGGCTCTGCTCACAGAGGCCACCCCTGCACCACCCCTGCTACCATATCTTTGCCATGTAAACCCAATACAGAGGGTTATGCCACATAGAAACACTCTATAGACTGTGTGTAATTACCTGCAGGAGGTCTCTGAAAGAGGTATGATAGGATCTTGTTATTTTATAAGGAAATATCAGTTTCCAGTCTAGTTCGGCTTTCTGCTTCTTTGTTGTGCTAGGTATGAGTTTCCAACCTCCGTCTTTTTTCAAGTGAAAGTATGCATTAAGCCAGTTTTGGATGTGAAGTGCGTAAATCTGTCGTTTCCCTCCTCATGAAATTTGCATTGCTGTTGTACTTTCAGACACTGCCTCTGTTTTCAGGGCTGGAATGCCTAAGTCACTGTAGCACACTGTGCTAAGTATGGGTACAGCACATTTCATGCTAACAGTTTACCTGGCTGCCTTCCTTCAAAACAGGGCTGAAATGGTGATTTTTAGCAAGAAACTGCCGATTTGGGTCTGTTAGCCCTGCCTGCCTCCTAGCAGCTGTGTTATTCCACAGTGCTGCTTCAGAGCTGTTTGGGGCTGGTATCGTGCTGGGGATAGGCACTATCAGAAAGAAGTACCCAGTTAGTGCCGTACCTTTTACAGCACAGCATAGGTAATGCCCA